GGTGTTTTTTTTTTTTTTTTTTTTTTTTTTTTTTTTTTTTTTTTTTTTTTTTAAATAGCAAAAAGAAATCTGAGGCACCTCCTAACCTGGCAGCGTGCTGTGTGCTTGTGGTGTCAAACGTCCCGCTCGCTTGTTGTGGCCAATGTCTGTACCAAAGAACGGTGAAGTGATTTATGTCCGTGTTTTAAATCGATGGATTCATTTTTGGGGTTTTCTTTTTGTACTTCTGACCACTTCAAGCAAAGCAAAACAAGACTCTGGAGAGGGCTTCCACGCCGGCTGCGTCCTCCCGCCGGCCTTGGTTTGCAGCGACAGCGTGTTCCTAAGGGAGAGGAGCACAGAGGACACGCTGCTGCCGGGAGAACGGGCATTTCTGGGCAGGAGCCTTGCAAACCCTGAATTGCAAATCCGTGTATTTGTGCTGCCGAGGACAACGCTGTGGCTGAGCTGGGGCTGGGGGCTGAGCTCGGCGAGTGCTGCTCTGCAGAGACAGGAACGGTGATGAAATAGAGATGAGCTGCAGCTCCCGGGGAGGGAATCGCTCCGACCCTTCTCGCTGCTTGAAGACTTTATGCCGGTCGCTGGGAAATGGTGCTCCCCGGTGTTCTGTGGGGGTGAAGGCCGACTGTTATTTCTGCCGACTGTTACTGCTGGGGTGGGTGTTACCGCGGGTGCAGCGGCTGTAGCCGTTGAGGTGTGTGGGGTTTACAGTCCGGTTGCTCTCAGCTGCCATCAGGAGCTGCCTGCGGGGGCTGAAGGCTTCTCTCACCCCCAGAAAGGCTCGTTCCATGCTGTTTCCAGCTGTTTTTTGGGAAGAACACTAATTTCTGTACACTGAGGGTGAAGAAGGCCCTGCGGTGCTTTCGGGGGTGCAGGAGGAACCGGTATCTCGCCCCCGTGCTGCTTCCTGCTGCGGCTGCCGCGGTGGCGGAGGCTGCTCGGGGCAGCCCGTCCCCAGCGCCTGCTCTCAGTGACGCGTCGTGCCTCCTCTAGAACCAGCTGCTGCGAGTGTGAGTATCAAACTGCTTCATCTTTGGACTTGAGTAATAAAACTGGTTGGCCAAGAAGTGGGTTCCTCTGTCTGAGTGAGCGTCGGGGCCGCGGGGCACCCCCCACAGACGGGTCCTTGCCCTCACTTTGCCCTCGCCCCATAGCGGTGTCTCCCAGGGGTGCAGTGAGCGTCGGGGCTGTGGGGGACCCCCCACAGACGGGTCCTTGCCCTCACTTTGCCCTCACCCCGTAGCGGTGTCTCCCAGGGGTGCTGGTCCCCGTTTGTTCACACCCCATTTCTGTGGTGCTCCCCTCACCTCCTCCAGCTCCTCTGCTTGTCCCCAGGACTCGCTTCCCAGCCCAGCATCACTTTTTGGGGTAAGAGCACAAGCCGTGGCTCAGCACCCCCTGTCTGAAGCAGCCCTGGCCACACGTGGGTTTGAGGAAGCTGCTGGTGGTCCAGGGTGGTCTGACACTTCCACCTGTAGCTCAGGTCCTCTATCAGCAACAGAAGGTGGTGGAGGGTTGATTTTTTCCCCACATTCCTGGGCACCAAGAGCTCTGTGACTTGGTACCAAACTTCCCCAAACCTCTGCCTGCACACGGGAAGCAGCTGAGGGCTGGAGCTGCCCACCAGAGCCTGGTCCAGCTTCCTCAGAACTTTGGGTGTGGAGGTCCAGAGGCTGTGGAGGCTGTGTTCACCCCCCGGGACACAAACTGAACCATCTCTGCCCACCATGGAGCTCAGGAGCCAGGTGAAGAACACAAGGGTACACCATATGTGCCAAAAGGTGTACAGTCAATAGAGGGGTGTGTGGATTTAAGAAGGGCGCAGTCAGGAGCACACCATGGAGCTCCCCATCACCTCTGCTGGTACCAGTCACACCCCGCAGGCACAGACCACAACATGGGGGGAGTTTGTTTGTTGTTTCTGGCCAGCCAAGGGGTCACTCCCAGGTAAGAAAGACCCTTTAGGGAGAGGGACCCAGGAGCAGAGGGAAGGTCCAGCCCCGTTTTTCTCAGCAGAAACACCCTGAGGCAGAGCAGAACCACAACCATCCAGCAGCACCGCAGGGAGGCAGCTGGAGTGGGAACCCCCAAACCCCTCCATCTGCTCAGCCTGAAGGGCTGGAGCTGCCCCTTGGCCACCAGCCTGTTTCAGCCCAGCTGGTGCTTCCCAGGTTCCCAGAGCTGCTGTCTCCGGGGTCACCATTTGCTGTTGCTGATACTCAGGACACTCAGGAGTGTGTTACTCTGCCTGCATGTAACATCTGAGATACCTCCAGTGAGCTCTGGGGAGGCTGCAGGTCTGGTCTCAGGCCCCAGAGCTGCTGTCACTGGGGTCACCATTTGCTGTTGCTGATACTTGGGACACTCAGGAGTGCGTTACTGGCACCAGCACCCAGGAGTGTATGGAGCAGCAATAAATACTCCAGGCAGAGTCCTAAGGTTTCCAGTGCTGGCACTGAAAGGATGGCACCAGCTGTCTCATAGAATCATAGAGGTTGGAAGAGACCCTTGGGATCATCGAGTCCAACCATCTCCCCTACTCTACAAAGTCCTCCCCTACACCATGTCCCTCAGCACTGCATCTAAACGGCCCTTAAACACAGCCAGGGATGGGGACTCCACCCCCTCCCTGGGCAGCCTGTTCCAATGCCCGACCACTCTTTCAGTGAAAAATTCCTTCCTAATGTTCAATCTAAACCTGCCCTGTTGGAGCTTGAAGCCGTTCCCTCTCATTCTATTGTTAATTACCTGTGAGAAGAGACCAGCACCAACCTTGGTGTGGAGCCTGTGACTAACGAGATACGTGCAGGGAGGAACACCCCCCGCTCTGCCTTCCCTGCACCAGTACCATTCCCCTGGTTTGTCGAAGGTCACAGTCCTTTCTCTCTGCAGAAGAGTAATTTCAGTCTCACCCCGGCTTTACCACCCTGACAGAGCGGTTCAGACTCCTCCTCTCTGAACTGACTGAACCTTGGCCCAGGCAGATGCTCCACAACTTGGCCGAACCCAGTTAATCCCACCCTGTGAGGTTATTGGTGAGAACCCAGCACCGCGCCCCAAACCCCGGGTTTGGCTGGAGACCAGCCCCATGAGTGATGAAAACCACCTGAACACAGCACAAAATCCAACTGTGAATCAACCACTTGAGGCCATAAATACCCACAGCCCAGGGCCCCGTGAGCTCCCCTCCACAGCAGCCATCGGGGTGGCAGGGACCTCCCCTGGGGCAGGGACACCTCTCCAGGCCACCCACGGAGGCCGAGATCCCACACCAGACACCCACGGCTTCCTGAGGGACAGCTCTGCCTGCACGTAACATCTGAGATACCTCCAGTGAGCTCTGAGATACAAAGATCATTGTGCAAGCTCACTATAGGTGTCTCATACTGCAGTGTAGTATTGGTGCATCAAGACTTGTGTGGCCACAGGGAGGTCATCCTGCCCCTCTGCTCTGCCCTGGGGAGGCCCCATCTGGAGCACTGGGACCAGTTCTGGGCTCCCCAGTTCCAGAAGGACAGGGAACTGCTGGAGAGGGCACAGCAGAGGCTACAGAGAGGATGAGGGACCTCGAGCATCTCCCTTATGAGGAAAGGCTGAGGGACTTGGGGCTTTTTAGTCTGGAGAAGAGAAGGCTGAGGGGGGATCTGATCAACACCTATAAATACTTCAAGGGTGGGTGTCAGGAGGATGGGGCCAGGCTTTTCTCAGTGGTGCCCAGGGACAGGACAAGAGGAAATGGGCACAAACTTGAATATAAGAAGTTCCACCTCAACATGAGGAGGAACTTCTTTGCTGTGAGGGTGGCAGAGCCCTGGCAGAGGCTGCCCAGGGAGGTGGTGGAGTCTCCTTCTCTGGAGACATTCCAACCCACCTGGACACGTTCCTGTGGGACCTGCTCTGGGTGGCCCTGCTCTGGCAGGGGGTTGGACTGGATGGTCTCCAGAGGTCCCTTCCAGCCCCATGGGATTCTGTGATTCCGTGACTGCAAATCCATCTGTATTTAAGTATTTTACACACCTAAATTTACGGATTAGGACTCCAACTCCTAGAGAAGATCACCCCGAGGGATGTCCAGCTCTTCTCCTGCACCACCCTCTGAACACGCTGCAGTAACGAACTGAGACTTACAGCCCCTGGTGACGGACCCAGCTCCAGGAGCTGAGCCTGTGGAGACAACGGCAGAACAAACGCTCGTCAACAAGAGCTAATTTATTTCTTACCAGACAGAGGAAAGTCAGTACAGCATTTCTTTTAACATCAACAAGTCCTAGGTTAAACTCAACAAATCTTAATGCGGTGACTTGCGGTATGAAGCTGTGCGTTGTCCCCCCCCCAGCACCCCCAGCAGGGCCTTCGGTCCTTTCAGTGATCAAAATACTCCGCTTTCCGCTGCACTCGCGCTCAGCTTCTCTCACATCATCTCACGACAATTTATGTGGTGCAATCACACCTCTCACGTATCAGGATTTCCAGAAGTAGGAAGAACACAGACATTTAAAATAGCAGGGCATCCAGGCAAGGCCAGCGGAATAAATTTAATCCACACATTATAAATGTGATGCTAGAAGTGTTAAAACCCCGGACCTCCCGAGCCACATAATACCACCATCTCGGATCAGCAAATAAGTTACTTCTATTCCGTACGGATTAAGATATGCAGAGAAACACCAAGTACTGCCAAGAGCTGCCAAAAATGCAGAGGTGAACTAATAAGTCTAAAATACGACAACAAAATTCCAAACCAAACTAGTGAAAGAGTAACTTGAAGAAAACCTAAATTTCAGAACTTTGTGATACCTCTTCCATTTTGAAGTGAAGGCATTAAAAACAATACTCATCATTTCAGCTGCTGCACAGCTTTTTAAAGGATAATCCTGTGTGCGTGGCATATTTTGATTATGTTTAAATACTTTAAAACAGAGGTTCTTTTTTTTCCCCAAGAGCATGCCCAAATGATTGGAACACATGTACTGAATTGCATGGTTTCACAACAGCGATTTTGTCATACCAGTAATTTAGTGGAACCCGGTGCATCTCCTTTTGCAAACTTACATTCTAAAATCTCAAATTCATAAATATTTATATTTTAAATATTTAATTTTACATGAATATTGGGTATTCTTAGTATTTTATTCCTCCTGTTTCCAGGTACTAGTTTGATAAGGAAACCATTTTTACATCACAATCTGATCTGACCGGGCACTCCGTTAGACTACAGTCTTTAAGAATCATTATTTTAAAACCTATTTCCTAAGGCAAAACTAAAAGAAGTTTATCGGAAGAGTTGTACACCAGGGTTCACCTGCAGAAGTTAAATAATAGCTTGGCTGTTAATTAATTAGTCTGATTAATATATTTTTTTTTAAGTTAACATTCACCACTTTGGCTTTCCAATGCTCTGACACTGCCTGTCACGTCAGGAGTTTAAGTAGAACCCGAGAGCCCTTGAAGCAAATTCAACATCTCGTCAAGGTACGGCTTTAAATACGAATATTAGTAGTTCAAACTTCACAAATAATTAAAAAAGGATTAGTATCATCTCTCATACAGCCAGGTTGCGGCGTGTAATGTTTGACACACAACCTGTATCTCGTTAGTGCTTGCTTACTTCAGCCCTGCGCGCCGCGGTGCCGCAGCCGCTCGTGCCCCCACACGCCTTCTCTTCGGGCGGTGCCGTGTCCCGAGGAGCTTTCTCTCGCTCGGGTTTCCCGGGGGCAGGTTTGGGTAAGGTCATCTGGAACGCGCACCACAGGGTCGTACGTGCCTTACGCGTCGTCACGCTCATCTCTTTAATGGCCAAAGCCAGAGCAAACACGTCTGCGGGGAGGAAACGGTGCGTTAATCTCTATCACACAGGCCATCGGCAAGCACTGCTTGGGATTAATTCAGCCCAGCAACGCTGAAACCAGCAAAACTTTTTAGTGGCTGGTTTTGTGTCTGTCTCTTTACAAGGCTGTAAAATTGAACCTAAGCAAGCATTGATTTTTAGGCCCTCATAAGTACCTAAATTCCATAGATTCTGTATATTTTGTTAGAGCACCCACTTAGCTGTCACCTAGTATCAGGAGGACCCAAAGCCCCACGGTCACCCCTGCTTTGGGAAGTGTCCCATCTGCAACACCCACTAAAGGCCTCCTGCCCCTTCCTGGATGCTCACAATTCCTCCACATCCAAAAAGTGGATCCTTTGCCCGTCTCACCCAAGAAATCATTGGGACAGATGAAGGAATAGCTCATTTATGGCATTTTGTTAAAGCACAGAGATCACGTTCTGCAAAAATTTGGCAAAACCCACCACTTTAAAATGAAGAAGTGGTACAGTGTCCATTTATTCAACAGCAATCACTTAATGCTTTGATTTCAATTGCAGCCCGTGTGAAGAAACAAATTCTTGAAATGTCAGAGTTTTCAGTCAGAGGTTGCATGTTACTCTGGGGTAGGGGCAGAGGTGCTCCCCTCAGAGTGGGTCACACTACACCGTGTCTCCTGCCTCCCTGCTCACACTCTGCGTGGGGTTGGAACCAGCAGGAGATTGACTCACGTCCTGCCCTTCCATGTCCTCCTGCCCTTCCACGTCCTCCTGCTCAGGGAGCACGACTGCAGTTTCATTTATGGCAAAAAAGCTGGCACCCACCTTCAACAGACACCCCGGGATTCGCTGTTCCGTACCTGCTGTACGAGGGGTACCTCAGAAAAGGGCAGAGCTAAAGGCCTAACCTCACCCTCTCCCAGCCCCTCCTCATCACCTCCTCTGCCTTGCGCTCCCTGGGCTGGGTTCTCTGAAACCCACTCTGAGACATCACTCCTTCCTTCTGCACAGAGTGACTACCAGTTCCCCTCCAGTGACCACCAATTCCCCTACACTGACCACTGCTGATGGTCTGGAAGGAGCGGTACAGAAAATTCAGGTAATTGTAAAGAATCACCATGAAAATCCACTTGTCCATCAGGAGTGACAGCCATCCAAAGAATTTTAGAAGGTAGAGTCTGGAAGGGTAACTCCAGAGACAGACCACAGAGTGGGAGGATGTGATTATGAGGTCTTGTGTTTTCAGAATTCCAACTTCCACACCAAGCTTTGTGGAATCAAGAAGAGACACCAGGAGCAGTGTCACCTGGGCTGCCTAAAAGCAGCTTAGAAACAAGTGACACATAAATGTGCGTCTCAAAGCTGTGAGATAGGGCTGGCACTCAGGTTGCTACCAAAGGAAGAAGGGAAAATCCCACAGTAATAAGGAAGAGCTGTTGTGAAGTCTTTAGTTCAATGCAGTTGAATGAGAGTTACAGACATTAAAAAGGTCCTTTCTCCCCTCAAAAGATGGTTTTTAACTTCTATACCTTTCTGAAAAATCGTCAGCGCTGAATCAAGGGCAATCTCACAGCAGAGGTATGGTCAGTGCTCTGATGTTGTTCGGGTGACAGATGGCACTCCATAAAACCCTTTTTCTTATCATTGTGATTTCTTCCAGAACTTCATTAAGTGTTCAAAGACATTCACAAACAAGTGCCAGACACCTCATACAGTTCCACAACTTCCACATGTTACTAGAATTTTTCAGACCTATGTTGTGGATGAAAACAACCGATCTGATGCAGCTCAGATCCACCCACTTCCCACTGAAGGAAATCTGTGTTGCACCTAAAGCCAGGGAGCTGGGAGAAGACCAAGGCTCATCTATGAATTTTATTTAAATAAAAATTCCTGGAAAAAAGGACACAACAGACAGGTCCTGCCTGATAAGATACTTAATATCAGATCAGATGGAACAGAAAGGTGGTGCAGAAACAAGGCTGGGCCAGGGAAGAGCTCTTCTCAAATGAAACAAGAGAGCTCTGGCAAAAAGAGGAGAGGCAGAGCTTCAGGTGTGCTCCTCAAGGCTCTCCTGGACGTGCAGCAGATACAGTTACTACATTCAATGATCTTCTGTTGGAAAAGTCCTTGCCAGTTGCTGCAACAAGTGAACACACCTTGGGGACAGGCAGTACGGGGGATGAGAGGCAGAGAAGGAAATCAGATCACATGGTGCAAAGTCCTCTTCTTTCTCTTCTTTTTGACCAAGGAGTAGATCTTGGGGTACGACAGCTCCTCTTTTCCAGGCTCCTCGGTTCCAAAGAGCTCACTGATGTATATAAGAAGTAATGCCAAGTAAAGCCAGTGCCAACTATTTTCATGGGCTTAAACACTCAAAAAAATCTCTTCATCTTAACAAGCCACATCATCTTCAATCAAGGTAGACAGAAACAAGAATGATGGTGAACAGGTGAAAAGAAAAATTGCTATAGTGTATCTGCTGAAGTAACCTTGAGAATTACAGAACTGCATGATGGGACACCCCAAAAGAGGGAAAGAATCCACCCAATTCAGCTGTGGAAAGCAAGGCAGGAAGTGAACAGAGGGCTCTCAGAAACGTAAGGGAGCTTCCAACACCGCGCCGTAGCTCAGAGCATCACAGGCAGCAGGAATGTGCTCTGCTTCATATCTGAGAGAGGAGGGATCCTGCCATTCTGCCTGTGCACCACTGAAGGATTAAGCTGAATATTCTGCATATTTTGGACACCATCAAGAATAAAAACATCCTGACCAATATATTTTTGGGTATCCATCTAAAATACAATTTGCATTTTACGTCAATCTATGACAGAATATGCCTGAAGAGCAAATCCATTCATAACACAAGGCCATCGTGGTCTCTGCACAGACTCAGCCTGGAGACACCACGGCAGTTCCACCCAGAAACACAGACAGGGCTGGAGGGGTGACAGGGCCAGGAATGTGAGGGACAGGGGGAAGAAAGAGACACTAGTTTGGTACCACCTCCAACCCCAAGCTGCATTACAAAAACACCCCACCACCTTTTCATGACTTGCTAGTTTATTAATTGAATGAATGCACTCCAAATTGAGTTAACACATTTGTCTCTAAACCCCAGTTTTAGTGTCTTCTCAAAACCGTCATCTAACCCCCCCAGTCTGCTTTTCTCAAAGCTCTAGACACTGAAAAATAAATTAAAACTTTAATACAAAACCCCTCACACTTTTTTATAGACTTGCAACACGTGTAGAATTTTTTAGCTACCTTATAAAAGTACATAAGCATAGTTATACCTCTGTCATCTTGGCATCTGGGAGCTCCTTGCCTCTGTCGATTTGAAGCATTTACAATTTCATCTTTTCTACGGGACTGCACTACATGAATTACCTCCAGGTGTTTATCAAGAGCAGTAGAAATGTTAGCGTGAAGGGGAGAACTGCGAAGGCGCTCCATTTTTCCCAGTAAAGTCACAACCTGATGAACATTTTACACGTTACAGGAGTTCAAACTATGCTCATCTAGATTTACAAGAAAATTAACTAGATTAGGAAGAACAGATTAACAATAACCATTATTTTCTTTTGAGAACAGTTTATAAAGTTACAGTTGAAGTAGTTAAATTCTTACCTAGGATTTCTTCTTCTCCAGAACCGAAGCTGTAGAATACCTGGGTGTGCACAGTGCAACAGCAAAGCTAAAATTCCCAGTTATTAGGACACCCAGCTTACTAATTAATAACAGATATATACGACTTTGAGATAACCATGTGACAGGAGGTGGTTTCGTGACAACGTGCATTCCTCTGAATCAAGCCCACTGTGGTCCTCCTGTCCATCAGCACTTCCCTCAGGCCCTCCCTTCCATTCCATGCAGATGGAATTATCCATCTGGACACTGCCCTGCTGCAATTGTCCAGGTGAAAACCAGTCCCACAAACACCGGCCAGTTTTCACCCAGCTGCTCTCCTTGTGCTGTGCTGGCACAGAGCCACAGCCAGCGTGGGACAGGAGCTGGGATTGGATTTGCTAATTGAAAATCTGCATCTTTGTTTATTTTATAAGTCACATTTCTACAAAATCACATTTCTCCCTGGGTGAGTGATTCCTCAACCACGGCTCACAGAGCACTGAAGAACCTGGTTACTGGTCTGCAGAAAGAGATATAACCCCAGATTCCAAAAATGTAATGTTTTTGGGCAATGGCTACACTCCATGACCTATAAAGAAGCCTGATGCTTCATGGTCATCCACAGGTTAGAAATAAGCAATGGAAGGTCTGGGAGCACAGTGCAACGCAACACACTTGGTGTTTCCTTGCAAGAAAACTACTGTAGGCTTCCCTGGCAAATGGACCAGCACAGAGTTTTTAAAATGTAAGAAAAAGTGGCAGGCAAAGGCATCTGCACCAGGGCAGTGTGCCCAACGTGCTGTAGGTACCCTCAGAGCAGGCTGCTGGCCAGGACAGGTATTTTGGCAGCAGCACCCTCAGCAGCAGAGCAGAGCAGCCCACTCCTCGCTCCGGGGAGAGCACTCAGAAGGAGCGAGCTCCCGCTGCCGGACCCGTCCTGCTCTCCCTCAGATCCCACAAAAGCCTGGGGGGGGCAGAAAAAACCGCAGGCAGAAATAAACTGCACAGGTTACTGTGACAGCAGTAACAACCAATACACTCAAAAAGTGACTTTTCCCATTTTTTAAACTCTCAGCTTCCTTATAAAAGCGAAGGGAGAACTTCACACAAACAATCAGTCACTAAGACAGGAAACTACAGCAGGTAAGACTGACTGAGAATCACTAGATTTGTTTCTGAAGAAAAAAGCCAGATTTTAAGTAGTGGCACAGCAGGATTATGGAAGCAAGTGAAACAAAGCAAGCGGAACCTGACAGCCATTTCCCCTCTCGCTGACATGTCCACATTCTGAAGACCTGGTTTTCAGGTACCACAACCTCATCCAATGGGATCCACAGCTGATAGTTAAATAATTAAACCTTCTTTATACTAAGCCTGGGAGAAGTGCCAGGTGTCTAAAAGCAAAATCCACACAAGTCAGCAAAGCTGAGCTGCCCCAGCAGCCCAACAGGAACCACTGAAGGCTCAAATGCTCGCTTTCCCATCCCCTCAGGTTTTTCCAAAGTTCATCCTGTGCTCCCAAGAGACACTTCCTTCTCCTCATGACTCAGAGGCATTAACGAACCTGCCCTTCTCCTGCAAAGCACCACTGATCCATCTGACTGCCACAGGGCTTGCCAAGTAATTCCCATCCTTCACTGGGAAAAGCAGCAAGCCACCAGTGATGCTGGGGCTGACCACTGGAGCGGCAGGGTCCCAGCGAAACAGCCAGCAGAGCCACAGAGCCTGCAGTCCAGGGGTGAACATGCGCCATGGGGTGAGGACTGATGTTTCAGGCCCAGCTTTGATGACTGTTCTTCACAAACAGGGACTAGAATGCTTTCCCCGGCCCATACAGATGGGGAAGAGTAGCCTTCGCTACTGGAAATAAGCCAATATTTCCCCTTTGTGGCAAAAATCACTCTCAGTCCCGAATCGAAGAGCTTCAACAGAACAAACTGGAGGTCCAGCCTCAGAGCACCCCGCAGTGGGGCGACTACGGCTTCCCCAGTTACAGCAGAGCTGTGGATTTACATCTCTCTAGACAGGGGAGATGGGACACAGACTGTAGAGAGGAGAGCCTGGTTTAAAGTTTGCTTAATAGCTACTGAGGACATAGTGAAGGAAGGTACTGTCACCTTTCCATCAGCTACGCTTTGTTCTGGAACTGAAAGCAACTCTAAGTCTCCAATGAGAAAAACAAAGTCAAGTGTGTGACCACCAAGAGGAGTTAAGTAGGTGCTCCATGCCACGAAGAGTTAGTCCCAGATTCAGCCATCTCAACTTCCACTTGAACCCTTTGGCCATCACTAAGCTTTTGGTGTTAGAATCCAGGTCTAACAGCCCCACTGTGCTTTTGAGAATCCTTAAAACTACTTTTCAGTTGCTACCTAACAAGGGTTTGAGGTTCTATACCCTTAAGTTTGGTTCCTCAAATGGCTAGAGAAGACTAAGTTCTTTTTAGATGCATTTTTAAAGTACTAGGACAAGGACAGGCAAGCCTTCTCAAAGTGGAAACTTCCTACCACTGTTCTTTTGGGGTTCATAAAGCTGTAGTTTAAAAAAATGTACATTAAGCCTGGCAACACATCTTTCCCTACACTCAGCTGTCTGAAAAAGAGCAGGCAGTTGCCCCAGACAGATGTCAGAAGGCAGCAAGCAGACATGGCTCCACAGCTTATTTCACCTGTGTGAGACTGGGAGGAAGGACAGTGCCTTAGCCCTGCTGCCCGGGGAGGGGCCGAGCTCAGCAGTGCTGCTCCCTCCCAAGACTAGCCCTGCTCAGAATGACAACCGCTGCCTTTAATCCCCTGTCCCCTCGCAGGGGCAGCTTTGCTTTCAGCCCACATCTCTCCTCCTCTCTCGGCCTCCGAAGGGCCGGATCAGACCCTTCCTGATCTGCTGGCTGGAGATCTGCTGATCTCCTCCCTCTCCTCTCCCTCGCAGAACTCTGCTGCTGCCTCACAAAGAAGTGTGACACTGTGCACTGGCACCATCGTTTGGCCACAGAGCCACTGGCAGCTCAGAAGACACCAGTCCCGCTCGCCCTACAGGTTATGGCTGTTTGGCCTAAGAAACAAACCAGTAACACCAATTCTGGCTGAGGTTGAATCAAATAACCACTCTGCATTAAAAAAATACAAGACTCTCAAGCAAATATGGATCAAAGTCTTACAAACATTAACTAAACTTGCCTTTTTCCCCACAAATACCTCTTCTAATACAGTGTCTACAAATCTACAGCGAACATTTCTCTGCTGAGCTGCTTGAAACAGAAGAACTCAAAGGTCAGGCCCATCTCAGAGCCGTGCAAGTGGACAGGCCAGATGAGCGGGTTCTGGCAACTGGTGCCCACTCCTGCACCAGGGCACACCCCCTCCTCACGCCTGCACCTCCTCACGCGTGCACACCAACGTGAGCCCAGCTCCTCGGCGCGTTCCCTGGTAACAGCAGCAGCGAACCTGGAGCTGCAGAAACCCTAGCAGGGACTGCTGAAAGATTATTCCCTGCACATCATTTAAGAACAAAGCTATTTTGGGAAAAGCTGCTCCCATCAGCATACATATCTCATACTGTACTCTAAGTTCTGTGTGATAACCTCAATAGTTTTTTTTGGGTTTCTTTTTTTTTTTTTTTTTTTTTAACTCACTCTGGCTTGTTCACGTAGCTGATCCACAATTAAACGATCAACTCTTGATGGGTTTGATGTCGGCCGCGGAATCGGGGTGTTGTTAGCACTGGAAACCTTTTTCCCCTGGAAATTCTTCGCAAGAGCCGATTCAGTCTGCAGGAAAACAAAAGAATAACTCCCTAAGAACACAAGCTGCAAAATGTTCTTCACTACAGGAACAAGAAGAAATATCAGATGTACAATTCTTTTCCCTTAGAGTTTTGGGGTTTTTTTTTAAGCAGATAATGAGGATTCAGTCATTTGGGATTTAACCACTTGGTAAGACAATCACCTGTTTTAAGTGAACAACCACTTTACCCAGAGCAGTTCAACTGAAGTAATTATGCCAACGTAATGTGTTTTAGAAGAGCTGCTCACACTAACTACAGCCTGTACTAATTTTGCCTGTAAATAAAATGGAAGCAAGTTGGAATTACAAGGCAAAAAAGAATGAGCAAACAGGTTTGAACCCCATCCACAAAATTAAAATAAAATTGTTTAAGTCAGCAATTAACCTAAATTTTTATACAGATTAGTCAAACTAAAGAAATGGTTTTGGGTTGGTTTTTTTTTTTTTTGTTAAAATGAAATAATATTTTATTTAGCCATCAGGAAATTCCTTTGAAACCTGACTTCAAGATTTCAAATTTCAATCTTTCTCACCCTATTGTTACATCACTCTGGAACAGCTGTAACACCATACCCCTAAATCTGTTCTAAAATGGCATTTCTTAGTTCTGTGGTGCTCCACACGAAGCTGCAGCCTCATTTTCTCCACACCCCTCCCCACTTCCCAGCATGTGTTAACTCTTTCTCTTTTGCACTTCTCTGTGCAAGCCTGGACATCAATCTCCCCTTCTCAAGTCAAGCTCGTTCTCTCTCTAACCCCTCTGTTCAAAGAAACACCCATATTTTGTCAGGAAACACTCTGGCAAACCCCCCCTTACAGCCCCTCACAATGAAGTTTATTCGGGTGGACTGGCCCCACAGAGCTTCCAGAGGTGACAGCCCCATGGCCAGCCCCCACCACCCCCAGGTGACAAAAACAAGCTTCCCTCCTAGAAAGTCACAGCTCCTGATTGTTTTTGAGCTTCAATAAAGTTCAGAACTTTAACTTCAGTTTAACTGGTGAAACTAAGGCAACTTTTACATTCAACAAAGGTAGCTTGAAGCACTTCTGCTGGTGACCAAAAAGGCCATCAAAACTGCTTCATGTAGGGCTTCCCACAGAACTACCTGAGCTGTGATCAAGGGTTTTACTATTACCCTTTCTTCAGCCTCTGTCTCTGGCGGGGGGGGGAAGAAGAGCCCCTTCAAATATACCTTAGGTTTAAAACATCAGGGGAACAGGAGAAGAACTCATTGAAAGAACTAAAAGTATAGGGCCTAAGAAATGTAATGAATTCTTTAAAGGATTAAAGTTTAATTCCAATTAAAAATATAACTAATGGGTTTGCTTTCGAAGTTTCAAAATGCATTGTATTTATTGTATTAAGAAAAGGAAGTGTGACAGCTTTGCTAGTCACACACACCTTCCCCAGCCCCAACAGAGACTGAAAAGTCACTGAATTCCCGCTTTAAGTGCAACATTCAATACAGCATCAGTTACGTTCCCACCCAGGCTACCAACCTTCAAAATTTCCATTTTCAGTCCCAAATATAAAGGAAAATGAAGTCTTTTACCTTTGAAGTCCCATTAAGCATTTCAACTCCTAGCAGAGAGAATTACCCATGACCTCTAACTCCACAGAGCAGGATGAGATCTACATCAAATCTGTGCTATGGCATATTAAATTGATTTTTTTTTTTTTTTTACCTTCTTTCTCTCTTTCTCCAGAGCTCTCCATTGTTCGTAACACTCTTCTAGTCTAACATGAAGCTCGCTGGCAGGCCCGCTACGGGTTTTGACTTGCCTTTGAAATCCAAATGCGGGTACAAAACCAGAAAAGGAGCCCTCACCGTACACCTTATCGTTTTCTCCAGAGCTCTCCACTGTTCGTAACACTCTTCTAGTCTAACATGAAGCTCGCTGGCAGGCCCGCTACGGGTTTTGATTTGCCTTTGAAATCCAAACGCCGGTACAAAACCAGAAAAGGAGCCCTCACCGTACACCTTATCGTTCAGGTAAGGGTAGAAGCGTTTTAAATCATCGCGGGAGAACAAGTCGTGGGAGTCCATCAGAGGGACGATGGAACGGCCAAGGAGACGGGCTGATCTCAAGGGGAAGGCACTAGAGCCAAGCTGCTGAGTGCGCCGAAAGTCCCCCATCATGGAACTGCTGGAAACGCCCGGTACCTGCAGGGAACTCGGGGGACTGAGGGGGTTACCGTCCCCGCTCCCCTGCCTGAGGTTAAACGGACCCTGAGACTCCAGTAAATCCTGGTACACGGTCTGCAACAGCCCATCCGCGGGTTTCTGTCCCTCCAGGTCATAACGCTCACTCTGTGCCTTCAACTGGAAACGGTGTTTGTTCATGTTCTCAATGATCCCGAACTGCTGAGCGGAGTAACTGTCGCAGAATCCGTTTGGCTGCTTTAATTTCTTTTCACTTAAATACTCAATGAGATTCTCTTCTCCACTCCTCATCAGTGCTTCCACGCAAGCAGCAGACCGAGCTCGTTCTGCCGTGTTATAACCAAAATCAAGACTTGAAAAAAATGGATTGTCTTGAAACTTGTGAAATAAATTACTATTTAAAGGGAAATTTGCAGACGATAACTGAAAAAAATCATTAGAGTGACTGGAACTTTTTGGAAAAGCAGATAAATGATTATTCAGTTTCAACAAAGGACTTGGATTCTGAAATGGGGCAGAAGCAGTGGTTTTGGTTTGTGTGTTCATCCAAGCTGGCCTCACATTAGCGCCCGCCGGAGGGTTTGCTGGGTTTGGTAACAAGGGAAGGGATTTACAGTACTCAGAATTCTGAAGATCGGACTTGGAAAACTGCTGCTTTTCTACACCATTGGCACAGTCACTATTCCCTGGACAAGCTGCAAATGATTTCAGTCCATACTCAAATTTTTGCCCCAAATCAGTGCAGAATGAAGCCTCATTTGCAAATTGCTTTTCCGAAAGAAGTCCTACAGCCTTGGGAAATGTAAAGTTTTGCTGATCTGAAATTGTATCTTCTATTTTTTTCTGAGTTCCTGATTTAACTTGAAATAATTTACTATAGGGTTCCGCATCCAGAGATGGTGCCTCAATGGTTCCATTTACTAACTTTTTATTTTCTTGGAGGCTACAATTGGTGCTCTTGTTTGGCTTTGCTTTACCAGCATGAGAGTATTCAGTGTACCTACTGTAATCTGTGTTTTCATTGTATCTGTGAAACTGTGGAAGGAACATCTCTGCCCGCTTTTGCTGCAACTGCGCATCCGCTCCTTTGGGACACACCTTCTCCCTCCCGTAAGAATAAGCATCGTCTCCCAAGTCTTTGATTACTTCTGAATATCCAACTTGGGGTGTAAAGGCGTTTTTTATGTATGGATAGTTCTGATACACGGGTGTTGTCTTCATATTCTCATTAGTCTGCACGTTACAACAGTTGGCATGATCATTCCTGGAAGGGTACAAACACTGCTCTTCAAGGTCTATGCCAGTAAACCCACGACAACACTCCTCTACTTTCTGCTGCGATGTAAGATTACTGCTTTGCAAGTACTGTTTCTCAGCAGCAGAGACGGATTCACTACTATAAAACCCCTGCTGTGAGACAGCTCCAACGACTGGTCTTTTCGTTTCTGGCAGCAGGTCGGGGTGGTCTGCGATTCTGGTTGCATTCAGGGGCCACACTGACTTCAGGTTGGGAGGGCAGCTCCTTGAGAAACAAGAAATACACGATTAGGTTCGTCACGCTCCTCCTCCATCCCCGAATGCAGAAACAGGTTTAAAAAACCCCAAATTTCTCTCGAATGATTCAACGATGTCTTACGCCAACTTCTATCCATTACTGGCATCTTCACAGTTCCCCTTAGCTAGATGAGGAAACTGATTCTGGCTTGTCTAAACCCATAATCCTTATGAGATCCATACAATGCCTTCAAGCTGCAAGCAATGTGTACACACCAAATTATCACCAGCCAACCCCGTGAAGAGATTCAATATCCACCACCACCAAAATACTCCTGGATAAACAACAAGTTAAGATAACCACGCTTCCCAAACCACCTAAACCTTTCAAAGCCACGTCCCAGCCCTCCAGACACACACTTCTCTGTATCATCTTCCCTACTGCTTCAGAAGGGCCCGTGTTACACTGGCTTACACTGCTTCCTGCAGGTAAATCAAGAATAAGCATCCCAGCACGTTTCCTTTCCTTCCACTAATTACCATGGATTAACGCAGGACGATCGCTGACTGTCAAGAAAAGCTGTAAACAGACTAAGTAAAAAATGGAATTGTGCCTGGAAGTCATTACAGTCACAGCTAAATTTGGCAGCGCTGAAAACAGAAATTCAACCTTCACTGTCTGAAGTGAAGGAATCCGTAAGCTATCTCTTGAAGTTTTCCCTCACTGCAGCCACATCACTCACCACATATACAGAAATCTCTGGAATTTTGGGAGAAAACAGAAGGGAAGAGTGGTGCCTGGCTTGGGAACCCTGGGAACTGCATTCCCTTTCTTATCCCTTAGGCCTAGAACACTCAGATTTGGACAGAAGATTGTGAGCTCTCTAAGTATCTCGGGGATGCTGGATCCAAATCCTTCTCTGTCGTGTTACTACCACTACCTAATAGGTTCTTCTGGGGCTAGAATACAGGTATAACAAATCTGACATTTAGATATGTAAATATTGCTTAGGTAGAACTATCATCAAGAAATAGTAATTTTGCTTGAATTCTTCTCTCCTGCCGGTTCAGGAAAGCGTGAAAGAATAGGATTTTGTGTTTTGTGTACTCTTTCTGTAAACTGAAATGAATCAAGATAGGAACCTAAAGTCTGAATTCAGTCGATCTACAAAAACAGACCAGGCATATATTCCAAGAGATTTATTTGAATACAGCCTTTCCACAACTTACTTAAAAATGCCAATTAAAAAGTTCTGTAAATATCAGAAAGCTAGAAACTATCATGTAATTTGAGTACCCAGAGAAAAGCTTTCAAGTGTCACAAGTGAAATATTAGAAGATTAAGGGAAAGGAAGGGAAACTGTGAAGAGCACGAGGACTGCCAGCAGCAGATGCAGAGCTGACTAACAGAACACAGACACTGAGGAAGAGAACACACCAGGCCTGCACGGCCACACACTCACCCCTCAGCACAATACGGCTGCGATTTATCTTGTTCTTCCAAGATGTTAGACACGAGTCCGTACAAATCTGTTTCACTGCCATAATCATTCCTTTCAGGCTGAATCCTGAAAATGAATTGCGTATTAATGAAAACAATTACTTTGTTTGAAATATTTCATAAACAAACAAGCAAAAAAATCCATCTACTCCATCAGTGTGCACATCCTCTCTGTGAAATGTGACTACCTGGACTTCACGCTGCTCTGAGCGGCAGCAGGAGGCTTGGTGTCGTCTCCGTAGGTCGACCATGGTGCGTATAAAAGGGAAGGGTCCACAGGTGCAGAGAACTCTGATGTTGAAAGGGAAGAACTGTAGGTCTGAGGTAGCTCTACATTTTCTTCATTCTGCATTTTATTACAACAAAAGCACCGATTTTAATATTAAACACATCAAATTGTCATTTTTTTCATTCTATGAGGTTGTAACAAAGTTTGCCCCTGGAGTAACCAGAGCACAAGAAGCAAGCAAGACATGTACTTCTGACACAACGCTACAGCCAGTATCTGCTGGGGACCGCTACCCAGCGCACAATTCCTGTGGGAGTCCACTCTTAGTAACTGGGAACACTAACAGTGTTTTCACAGGGTTAGATGTTAAAGATCCACCATATACTCCTCCATGGAGCAGAGCAGTGACAAGCAAAGTCAGGTTTTATTCCCAGTGAGGTTTTTTGCCTAAATATGGGCAGGCGTCTACTTCACGTCTCGGCTCCCCGTGTCTGCAAAATACTTCTGTAAGCAAAAAAGGTGCCCAGTTTGTGAAGGACATGGAAGAACAAAGCCACGCAAGTCTGGGATAGAGTAAGTAATGGGTCTATTCTTGAAAGTATTGGAAATGAGTTTCGATTCATTTATTTGAGTCTTTTACCTCAGTGAAAGTTTATGGCTATGTAAGACCTAACAAACAGAGAGGTCTGATACTTACCTGCCCTGGCACTTTCTTCTGGTCAGACTAAGAACCCGCTGCTGACCAGGCTGGTTTATCCCAACGTTTGGGCTCTGTGTCTGTGACACACCACAGGCACATCTCCTGCAATACCTAAGCTTCTCCTTCTTACCGACTTCCCAGTTTTCCTAAAAATAGTCATTTGCTCCTCACTTTGTCTACAATTGTTTATGCTAGCAGAATAACAAAGAACACTGAAATATTTTACTAAACACTATAAATTCCTTCATCTGTGGCTGTATTAAAAAGTCACTGTCTTTTCTGATTAACATCATGATGATGGAGATTTATTACAAATAAATCAAACACGGTGATTTGTGTTCGCCAGTATAAGCAACTGCATTAGAAATATTTTTTTGACCATTTTGTCTACAAGCAACACAAACTCTTACACAAATATAAAAGAAGTCATTTCTAATCAACTGAACCTGTGATTTGTAGCAAGCATAGAGCGAGCCAGAGCCTGTCATTCCGCTGCTGAATACATCCGTCAGCCTCCCGCCAGCTTCTGTGCTACTCCAGCAGCGACTGCCACCTCGGAACGCCACTTTGGGCTATGAGAGACAGGGAAAAAACAGTGGTAGAAAGACATAATTACACACAGCCCTGAGAGTTGTAGGTTTTATACCAACATGAACTTCTCCACCACCTTAATTTACATTTGAATTCTGCTCCATCTGCGTTTTCAAGGAAGTAGTTCCATATACGGATATTAGAACACTTTCATATTTGCCCTTGGAGAAAAGCTTAACCCATGAAACCACAGGAAATTCGCAAGGAAAGACACAGGGGAGGTGCAGAACAAGAGGAGATCTTCGTCCTCCCCCTTTACACCAGCTGAGCTTCTGAAGGGCTGAATCACCACGGAAGAACAACTACAGAAGTGGGAGAATTATCCTTCTGCGCATCGCTACACACCTCTTCGCCTTTCATCACCCCTCCTATTACATTGTTTACGTTACACAAATGCATATATCTGCATTTTCAGATTCCAGGAGCTAGGATTTTGCTGTAATACACACTCCAGGAGCTATGGTGGAAACCTGCCCCATTCTGTAACTCTGGGAGAAACAACTCCCACCCAAAACCCACCCCTCTCCCCATCGCCGGCCTGGGGGTGCTCAGAAATGGTTGGCCAGTGGGAGCAAGGAATGAAACAAAAAGAAAGCTAGGTCTCTTCTCTTCCCTTCTTCAGAAGGTGAGGTACACAAGGCAAATTTAAAGTTAAAATAAAACTTTAGCTGACAAATAAAAGTTGTTCGCATAACATTTAAAGTATCAGCTGTGAGAACCCAACAGGTTCATCATGAACCCAGACCAACAATCGGACCAGGACCCAACAGCAGCTCATTTGAAATGCTTACTAAATTCAGAAACAGCTCAAGTTTCACAGGACTACTGTTCTGAAAGTATTCTAAATAAGCACCCTCTCTGGAAAAAGTTTTTCTTCTACATCTACCTGAGGATGAAAACCCACTCCTCACCTAACGTACAGGGCCCACAGAACACCTTCCTTCTAGTTTATGCCACGTTCACACTGATGGATTAAAACTTGTTTTTCCCAGACACATTTTACAAATACGTGAACACACAATACCAGAATTAGTGTGCAGCACAGCTCCTTTTCTTATCCTAATTGTGCTGTTTTCTCCTTAGTTTTGCCCTTGCTCGATAAAGACACCTAGCACTTCCACAATTTGTGACCTCACAGAATGAGGTACCATAACGGGGAGCTGCTACAGACCTGGGACACCCCCACCAAACCAAACCCACTCAGTTTTTTCCCCAAATGGAGCTTTTTCAGGACACTGAAAAGCATTTTCTTGAAGCTTTCGAGCAGTTTCCTAGCACCCGTTAGCACAAGACAGGCCTAGCTCTAGACAGTCCCCCACAGGACAGCCCAATCGGGCCCGCGCTGTGTGGCGAAGGGCCTCTCCCAGCCTCAGCCCCACTCGGTTACCGGCGCCCAGGGGAATCCCGGGCCCCGAGACAGCTCCGACCGACCGCCGGCATTCTGACAGAAAAGTTGCGCAGCCCGGCCTCTTCCCAGCCCACGGCGCGGCCGCGGCCCCGTTCCCGTCCCTCACCTCCATGGGCGACCCCGGGACGTTAGCACAAGACAGGCCTAGCTCTAGACGGTCCCCCACAGGACAGCCCAATCGGGCCCCGAAGAGCCTCTCCCAGCCTCAGCCCCACTCGGTTACCGGTGCCCAGGGGAAGCCCGGGCCCCGAGACAGCTCCGACCCACCGCTGGCATTCTGACAGGAAAGTTGCACAGCTCAGCCTCTTCCCAGCCCACGGCGCGGCCGCGGCCCCGTTACAGTCCCTCACCTCCATGGGCGACCCCGGGACGGCGGCGATGGCGGCGACGGGGGCGATGGCGGCGGCTACCGGCAGCAAGCGCAGCCCCCCCGTCGGCG